CTCTCTCTCTCTCTCTCTCTCTCTCTCTCTCTCTCTCTCCCTCCCTTTTACTGCTTCATGCCCCCCCTTTCCGCTCTCCCGCTCTTTCACGCCCTCCATCCGTCCATAGTCCACGCCATGAAGCCAAGATCTTCGAAATAATGGGGCTTTTTATGGCCTGAGCCACGCTTGGCCACGCCCCGGCTGGCCTTCTGATTGGCTTGAATACCTCTCGGTTGGCGTTGACTTCTAAAATCTTACATTACTGTCCCCCACCCCACTCTATATTTTACTTACACTATCTCTGTCTCTGTCCCTTTCTCTCTCTGAGAGGTATTTCAGTCTCTCTCTTCCCTTTCCTTACCCTATTTTTTCGGACCTATGTGTGTCAAATCACTGATCTACAAAGTGTGCAACTGCTTCACACTTGTAAGTGAACAACAGCAAGTGGAATACTTGTAACTGTGCGACTCCGTTGTTGTACACTTGAAAGTGTTCAACTCGGTAGGTGTGCACTTGCAAGTGTGCAACTCCTCAGTTGAGCACTCCTACACAGTGAGCGTCCAATAAGGAACTGCTCAACTGAGAAGTTGCACACTTTCGAGTGCACACCTACCGAGAGGAGTAACACATTGACTTCCGAGACGACTTCTGCGAACGTGCTGTAAGCCGTGTCTGTGTTGGAAGTGGCTATTTATCGCCGTTTCGTTCTTCTTCTGAACAGCAGAGAGCGCGAAAGGAAATCTCAGGCGTTAGTGTCTCTAAAAGCGCGTAGCTGCTACAATCTCCTACGTACACTCTTGCTGGACGTGATAATCATTATCATCGATAAATTGCGCAAAAATCGTGAAATAATATTTACGATGAAATATTATGAGGCTTGCCGGCAAAGGAGGGCGAGCAGGGCGGTGCGGGGTGAGGCGGTGCGGGTCGGGCAGTGGCCCGGCTGCTGCATTCTTTGCTCCGTGATTTGGACCTCGCCTCTGGGCCGCGCTTGTATTTTGTTTTGCAGGGCCACGGCTGCGGAGCCCGGCCGCCGGCCGTGCCCTTCCAGCCAGCCTTCCAGGCGGCTTCCAGCGACGGCTTCCAACGCTTCCAGCAGTCAGCCCGTGGACTGGCTGTCTCTGACGATTGATGGGCGAGTGGACAGTGCCTGGACAGGGCGACCTCCAGAAGCGAGTGGCTCAGCTGGCCCTGGGCCGCCTGAAGGGCCCCTTCCAGGCCGCTGGAGTCAACGCTCACGGAGCGCCCAGGAGGAGGTTTCTTGCCCAAACTGGGTAGCCAACTTGAGCTTCGGGTTTATGTTGAATAGAGAAGTGCTGTATGGCCATCGCGGGGTGGGGCGGACTTCGCGAGACCCGGGGCGAGACCGTTCTTGCTGTCCGCGGGCTGCCGAGCACTTCCGGCGTGGTCTTCAAAACCGCTTGGGTTTGGAACACTGAGCGAAATGTTTCGTTATGCCCCCATCGAATTTCGTTCGATCTGTCCGGGCTGTTATTGGCGTCAAAAATTTAGTTGCTGTCATCCAAAAGTTGTTGGAACCAAAAGTTTAGTTCCTGTAACCGATGGTGCCCATCACTGACCCGACGGATCGAGCAATGGTTGATGGCTGCAATGAAACATTTCTCTCGGTGAATGGCATTGAAATGAAGTCAATGTCAATAGCCCACAGGGGACCCCTTGTGTCAAACGCACTATTTGAGCGTGTTGTCCCATCGTACGTCCTGGAATGAGGTTACACAAGCTGGTGGGTCCTCCCCGGGCCGACAGTAGCGCTGCGGAGGACGGTGGTCGCGGGTGGAACGAGCCTCGGCGTGCGAAACCTTCGCTAATCCAACAGGCGGTCGCCGAGCGAGCAGGGCCGGGCCGGGCCGAGCCGACGAGAGCCGAGGAGCCGTGCCGAGCGGTCAGCGTGCGGCCGGGCGGCAGCTGAGCCCAGGGGGCCCGCCGTAGGCAGCCAGCCGTAGGCCCGCCGGGCTCACTCCGCGAGCCCCCGCACCAAGGTTCGCCTTCGACGACGCCCGCCCCGCCCGCGCCGGCAGAGGACTCCCTCGGCGCCCTGGTGCCCACGCAGGCCCCGCCCCACCCCGCGGGAAGGCGCCCCCTTCACTCGCCCTCCTCCCGCGCGCTCGCGGACCACTTCCAGGTAAGGCGACGGCGTCCTCCGCGGCCCCTGCTCGCTGCGCCTTGTCCTGCTCGGGCGGCGGCGCACTGCGGCGCTGCGTCGTCGTGGAGCTCCGTCGCGCCGCACCGAAAATGGTGTCAACAAAGCCATCTGGAGAGCGGCGGGGCCCTGCGCGGCCTGCGGGGCTCTGGCGGGGCCCCCACCACGCGGCGCAGCCGCCGACCAATGGCTCGGCTAGGCCGCGGAGCTGCGGAGCACTCCCCCCGCCCCGCAGCTGCGCCCGCCGCCGCAGCAGTCGAGGTGCAAAACCCCTGAAGAGAAGGGTTCGCAACCTGCGACATGTCCGCAATGCAATCGGTGTTGGCTCTCTCTCTCTCCGGCTCTCCCTCGCACTCTTCACGCTTATGCCTAGAGACATTACACACTTCGCACAGGAAAACAACGAAATTTTGCCTTGTCTCAGAGAAATTTCTTTCGTTTAACATACTAAAAAAAAAGTTCCTTGAGTTCAAGACTTTTCTTAAAATTACGGCAAATTATTCCTAAAAGTAAGGGGAAATTTTCCTTGGTTACGAAAGGTCAATTTCCTAGATTCACGGCTAATTTTAAGAAAATGTCGTTGTTTCAAGGAAGCGCTTTTCTGGTTGCATGATTATTCTTTGCTTACAGAGCTGAGCCGAAGTTGGCCCTTGCGGGCCATGGACGAAGGCGGGGGTGCGCTCCAGGAGTTGCCCTGAGGACCTCATGACCCCCTGCCGTGACCCGCGGTGCGCGCCGCGCCGCGCCTTCGCCACCCTCCTCGTCGGCAACCTGTGCCTGTTGATGTCGACCATGCCCTCCGCGTCCGCCTATTGGTAAGACATCGACAAAGCTGACCATACTATTTCTTGGTATTTTTATTTTATTTATTCGAGATTTCATTCCCCCTTATTTCCACGCGGGTCCGTGTGGATCGGGAATGTGAGTCATTCGGGCTGGGCGGGGCGGGGCGGGGCCGATCGGGTTGGAGCAGTGACCCGTCCCCAAAGGCGCTGCTGCCCACTTCCAGTCACTCGGATTTTTTAGCGAGTGGCGTGGCCTGACGCGGAGGAGCGCAGTCCCCCGGGCGTATGTCCCGCAAGCGTCGGGTGCAAACCTCGTTAGCAATCGTACTCGCAGTTGCGCCTTTCTTGAAAACACACACACAAAAAAAAAAAAAAAACATTTTTTATCGTGGTTTTCGAGCAACCCATCAGAATGTGACTGATGCGCGCGAACCCACATGTTTTCTAAAACCGTTTATCTAGCATCGCGATGCTGAGCCGACTATAAGCTGACCCTCACGTCGCCCGCACAGCCCTCCTTACCCCGCTTCTTACTTCTATTGCTGCGATGAGCTTAGAATGGAAACGGAGGCCAATTGTTTATTGAGGACAGGACAGGTCTTTCAGCTGCGCTGGAGTCGCCTCGCCCCCTCCGGCCCCGCCCGGCCCCGCCCGGCCATGTGCGTACGGCTTGCGAACACACTCTATCAAAGCAACAACTTTCGGTTTCGCTGGAACGAGGAATCTGATTTGCATTCAATGCATCTGCATGCCTCGGCGTCATGGTGATGCGCCGCATGCAACTCCAAGCGTTTATTATTGCAAGGCGATATGGCTCATTTCCTGCGCGCGGGTTTGCGCGGTCATTCCCTTCGCGCAGTCGAAACGGAACTCATAACGCGAAGGTGAAGGAGACCTAAGTCCGCCATATCTCGGCATAATACATGCCATGTGTTTTCTTACGGGTAATTGTCTTCAATCTTTTCCCCATTGCCCTTAAAAGACAGTTTTCTTTCTATATATAACATTAAATCTGACTGCTGATAATTAAAATTTTCAACCACGCAAAAGCCTTGACGCTGATGTTTTCGTCACTGCCGTTTCCCTTTGCATTGAGAATCGCAACACCGACACGGCAAGTACGGTCCGAACTTCACAGTGCTGCGCTGGTCTTTCATAAATCGAACCGGAACATCCTTGTCCAGTTGTCGGACGAGGCAGACCAGCGCTGGCCGCTCCGACTGGCGCTCTGCTGCTACAGCATCCTCGGACTCCGACATGCACGCATGACCGCATCTGTGGGAAAATAAATGTTTCCCCTTTCGAAACTTGTCTACATTTCGCCACGGACGGACTGTTTCGCGG